GTGGTGCCGCGATGTTCTCCTGTTTGCTGACGCTGGAGACGGCAGGAGCTGCGGTGGGGGACAAGGCCGCCTGCTGCTGTAGCCTCTGCTCGATCTCCTGAGCGGAAGAACCAGAAGCATCCTCAGAGGCGAACGCCATCCGATGAGACCTCACCTCCCCGGCGAGACCCAACAGGTCCAAGCGGAGCCCTCCGGCGCCACGAGCAGGGCACGCCGGGGCTCACGCCGACACCGGCGGCGGGCGGCATTCCCGGAGAGGGGGGAAGCGGGTCCCACGCTTCGCAATCGCCGCTTTATTTGAAAACCACTGAAAACCCGGCTGCTTTCCCAAGGTGTTACTGGAACCGCAGTCTTGCCGCGGCCAACACAAACAGGTTTTCTATCTCTGCACCCACTTGTTACAAAGAGCCCAAAGACTTCTTTCTCCGAAACAGACGCGTCCCATTTGTCAGCAGCCGGATTCCACTTCATATTTAGGGTTTGGAGTGGGTTTTTTTTTTTTTTTTACAGTTCACAAATGATGATTCCGGTTTATTTGCCCCCAGGGCCTCAAAACAAGTTCTCCAACACCCGATTTATGGGGGGAGCTGAGCAAATTCCCCCCTTCCACAAAGAAGCGAACAGGCAGCAAGCGGTTAAGCGACTCCCCGCGCATTCCAGGAAAGTCAGTGGCAAAACCAGGGAGGGAAGGCAGCCCTCGAGCTACAAATCCAGGGGGAAAACAACGCGCAAAGGGAGAGGAGTAGCCGCCTCGGGAGTACTCTGGACACTCGGCACCAGCCTTTCGCTGTTAGAAGCTCCATGGGCCAAGCTGGGCATGCCCACGAGCTGGGCATCCCCACGGAGAAGCCAAACTCCTCAAGCTCACGGGACGGGGAACCCCAATTGACCTACCGAAAAGCCGCGCGGCTGGAGACGTGCAAAGGGAAAGGGAGCAGGGGAGGCCCGGAGCCCGGGGCAGGGAGCTCCAGGCTCTCCTGGAGCAAACGTGCTCCCACCGGCGCAGCTCGCAGAGGGGTCTGTCTACTTGCCTGCTCCTGCTGCAAAGCTTTCACGAAGGCGTTCTTCAGCCGGTTGGTGTGCTCTGCCTTCAGCGCCTTCTTCTGATTGGAAGTCATGCACTGCTCGCACAGGATCTTCCCGTTTTTCTCCTGCTTCCAGTGAGGGGTGAAGTCGGTGCGGCACTGGGCACAGACAAAGGGCTCCACGCGCAGGAGGGACGCACAGCTTTTCCCTGGGAGTCGCCAAGAACGGGAGTTAGGTGGGAAAAGGGGAGAGCCCCCGCTCCCACACCGCCTCCTCCATCCCCGGCACGACAGCAACGGGCTCTCGCGCAGACCGTCGGAGCGGGAGGGAAGGTCCCAGCAAATAAACGGATTTTCAGGACAGCGCTGCATCAAAGTCCAACCCCACTCTGGGCAAGAGCTCAGCATCCCAGGAGAGACACGGGAGAAATCCTGCCCCAGGGACAGAACAACCCGATGGTGCTGGGACCAGCTCTACAAGACTATAAAAATCTGGCGGTCTTGGTGGTTGGGTCAGGTGAGCCAGCGACGCACTGCAGTTACACCGTGCCGAGCTCGCACTGGAAGAGCACAGGCTAGATCCCGGCCAGCTGGGAGGCGACAACCCGAGGAGAACGGTGAGGTGGGAGCTAAATCCCACAGGGATGGGACCCCGGGCAGTCACAGCTCCGAGGATTTTTGCGTCTCAGCTCCCGAACGTTCATTCAGGGCAAGGGAAGGGCCTGGGAGACCCCTCCCCAAGTGGGCACGGCCCGACGAGCCCCAGGGCACAGACACCGAGCCCCGGGGCACAGACACCGCTGTTCCGGGGCCGGCTGCAGGCTCGGCACATGGAGGCCGCCAACCTCGCCAGACCGGCTCCGTGCCCACGGGGTCGGCACGCAGCTCCCTAGTGCCCGGGGGCAGGGGGTGGTCCAGGTTCTGCCCTCCCCTCCGCTGCAGGCAGCCGCAGCAAGAAGGAGCGGAGTCCAGGGCTGGGTAAGACCAGAAACCGTTCTCTGGCAGCCTCCCAAGCTGCAGATTTTTGGCATTTTGCAAAAAAAAAGATAAAGTAGGAAATGGCCCATGGGAGCACTGTATCGTGGCAATCGAGGAAAGCTGCAGCCCCTCCCCGAGCTCACCTTGACTGTCGATAACGCTCTGCACCACCTCCTCCAGCCCCACCATGTAGATGAACTCGCTGTTGGCTGCGCTGGGCAAGAAATGCAGCAGGGGAGCGGGCGGCTTCGGGGGTGGGATCTCCAGCAGCGTCTTTTCCAGCTGCTTGCGCAGGGCAAGCTTGGCGGCTGCCTGGGAGTTGGCGGCGTCGTTCAGAGCACTGGGGCTGGGGAGCGGAGACGACACCCTGTTCACAGTGCCAGGCTGGATGTGAGAGGCAAGGTTCATATAGATGGCTGAAGACGACGTACGCTGGCAAGGAACAGAAGAACTTGATTGCTGGAGAGGAAGAGGAGAGGAGGATTAATACAGAAAATCAATACAGTCCCTGACTACGGCTCAGCTCCTAAGGTAACCTGGACGAGCCAGACTGCCTTCTCACAACCCTCCCTCTGTCCGCAAACGTTCCCAAAAGGTCCTGGGGAGACAGGAGCCGTGCTGGGACTCGGGAGCAGGGAGCTCGTCTCGGCCCCTACGATAAAGCAGTGCTGGTGCCGAGGAGCCTCCGGTCTACCGGAGTCAGCAGGAGGAGTCTCGGCCCCCTACGATAAAGCCATCAGCAGCGCCGGTGCCAAGGAGCCTCCAGCGCACCGGAATCCGCAGGAGGAGTCTTGGCATCCAGAGGAGCCCGGGGACTTCTGCAGGCGAGGAGACGCGTGTGCAGGGTCCGGTCTCCAGGACCCGGCGTCGGCCTCGCCAAGCGTAGGTAGCGCCGAGCAGCGTGAGTCACGCATCGACACCATCGCTCACTGTCGAGTTCTGCTCCTCCACCTCTTGCTTCGCTGATCTGGCAAGGCACCCAGGCAGCGTCCCCGCTGCCAGATGGCATCCGTCCCCTCCCACACAGGTGCTCCGAATGTGCCAGTTCCCTCCTCTCCCATTTCCAGCAGCTTGCTTTCTGCATCCTCCGTTCATTTGGATGCGCGGTCCCCTCTGGCACGCGACGGTGGCAAAGCACAAAGACTTCTGCTGACCTCGAGGATGCAGCTTCCGCAGCCTTTTGGGATAAGAAGCCATCAGCCTGCGACCTACTTAAGCCCAGGCAGGGCTGCCGCCAGCCTTTCACCCGGCCTACCCAGGGTACGAACACTTCCACGCGTGCAAAGGGGAAAATCCCGAAGAGCAACAAACCCTCTTCTCAGCGATTCAAACGGGGTCAGCTACCAAAGCTCGGGGGACACGGTCGTGTCGATCGAGAATAACGCGGAGAAGACCAACCAGTTTGCCCCGCTTTTCTTTTTTAAGACTGCTAACCCTTCGCTGGTTGGGGAAAAAAAGGCAGAGAACCGAGCTCATCCCAAACCAGCTGTTCTAAAGTAGGCCCGGGAAAACTAACGGCAGCGCTGACCAGGGATAACTCGTGCCGATTGAAATAAATAGTTGATGAAGTAACACCAACGAACTTACAACTCTCCTGCAAGAGTAGTTGGGGTGGTTTGGTTTTTTTTTTTTTTCAATCGCACATGTAATTAGGTTTGTTCGACAGTTGTTCGGATGCAAGACTTCCAGATTGTTGCGTAGCCGTGTTTATAATGTACGCATTTGCACTGTACTATCGCTAGGACAGATTAAACGGCTTAAGAACCGGCAACAAACCCTAAAAGGAATTAACAGGGGCCGTTAACCCGGGCCCGCGCGCACACAGAGCATCTCAGCCAAGCGTCGCAGTCCGGGATGAGGAACAGAGACTGTCCCACTGCGCGGGAGACACAGCCCAGGAAGCAAGGCCGTTCGCAGGAGAAAGGTTTGATCGCTCTATGCGGGGCCGGCGCTAGAACTGGAAAGCAGTCTTCCCCCCCACCCAGCTCTCCATTTCCAGTCTTCAGGGAAGTCTTTCCACTCTTCCAAAAGTAAAAGAAATGGTTTTAAGTGTCCCACTCCTCGACTGCCGGGAGCTCGCTGCGCTCTGTCGGCAGAGAGAAGCGGAAGAAAAGCACAGGCGAGCGAGCGCTTGCTACCGACCGCGGGAAGAGGAACCAGTCCGGCTCACAAACCAGTCACCCCGCTTCACCGGGGTCTTCGTGTCGCTGCTACAGCAGGAGGCCGGTGCTGCTCGGATCAACCAGCGCTTCGGTAGCTGGCAGCTCCAAATAGGAAGTTTTTCAATTATTTATCGTTTCATTCTTCCACGCAGGTCAAGGACATCCGTCTTCGTCCACGCTTGGGATAGATTCCCACCTGCAAGCTTCGCGCCG